ACCCCAAAGCCACAAAAAGCATTGCCAAGCTGCACCAGTGTCTTACAGATGTGCCTGATGCCAAAACATTTTTATTACCCGCTGTAATTCTATTCCAAAATATTAAATAATTCACTACAAGGTCAATTATATTTATTCTATCAACAGCAATGAGTGTTCTTTCTTAGAAAACATTTCTGTCTTGTATCTGAGGTCGTACCCTTTTTTCTGCTGTCAAGCACTCTTATGTGTGTATCATGGAAGTTCAGAAAGCCACTAGTTAGGCCTCTCAAGAGCCTAATTGCTTTCTATTCCTAATCCTTCACAAGCTTTATTGCTGAAAGCCTTAATTAAATGAGAATACCTTAAGATGTTTAGTACATTTCTACATCAGTAAGCTCTACTGGAGCTAATTTACTCTTCTGAGAAACCAAGAAGCTTGTGGTACCTATGTCAGGTCAGTGGTTTTACACTGCACCAGAGTGTGTAATGTAGACATCATGTGTAAATATGTGCAAGGCTAGTGGAAACAACTGAAGGTCCCATTTAAAATCAGCATAAACTTGGGTTACAAGTGCAGTGTAGATATGTCCATTTTAGGGATGGCAAAGGCTTTGTAATAGAGAATCTCCCTCTTGAGAGCAAAAGCTTACAGATTTCTGGGGACATGATTGTCTTTCGCTATCAAAGGATGAGCTTTTGTCCTTTGAGCTGAGTTGTTGATTAGAAGACAAAAACCACGGGCTCTGCTCTTGAGCCTTTAACTTCTCTTGGACAGGTCACATCTATTTGGTGTGCTCAGCTTTCCCTGTTTCTAAAACGATGCTGAGGATGCTGCATTTTGCTTTTACAGTACTGAGAGAGATAGCAAGGAGTGGTTAAGAGCTCCCATTATTCTAACAGATAGAAAATATCCACTTGTAGAGCTGGAGTGTTGCAGATTGGCATAAAGAAAGGATGGAAATGCAGTTGCAGTACACTCTTGCTGCTAGGAAACTGAGGGATCTTGCTGGTGGCTCTTATAGAGCTGGCTCCTGTGCTCAGGGGATCAAAATTCATGGCAGGGAATATTTTTCCTCTGTGACTGGTGGGGAACCTGGCTTTGTTTGCCAGGTTATATGGCTTTGCATAGGGGATGTAGGTGTTGGAAATGCCTTTGGCCTCTGTCCTGGGTTCAGCTGCGGCAGTTGTTTTCCTCCTTTCTAGTATGTGGTGCACTGCTCTGTTCGGGCTTCAGTCTGAAAATAATGCTGGTAACACACCCATGGTTCAGTTGTTGCTCAGTAGCACTTACTCTGATCATGGACTTCTCAGTCTCTCATGCTCTGCCAGTGAGGAGGGGCACAAGAAGCCAGGAGGAAGCAGAGCCAGGACACCTGACCCAAACTAGCCAAAGGGGTATTCCATCCCACAGCACATCATGCTCAGTATATGAACTGGGGAGAGTTACCTGGAAGGGACCAATCACTGCTCTTGTTGGGCTGGGTATTGGTCTGTGGGTCCTGAGCAATTGTATTCTGCATCACTTGTGTTTATTGTTTTCGTTTTCCCCTTTTAGTTTTATATGCTGCTCCCTTATTTCCATTATTATTATTATGATGCTTTAGTTATTAAACTATTCTTATCTCAGCCCTTTGGGGTTACATTCTTTTGATTCCCTCCCCACCCTGCCAGGATGGGCACACGTGTGTGTGTGTGTGTGAGCAGCTGCGTGGCCCTGAGTTACTGGCTGGATTTAAGCCACGACAGTCTCCCATCTATTTTCCTAGTGGACACGACCACTCTGTGGTCTTTGAGTTTCTCTTCTTGGGTGTGTTGGAAATTGCCTTCTCCCTGGATATCTGTTCCATGATGCCTTCAAGTTTGAGCTGTGGCAGTCCTGGTAGAATATTCCTGCTCTACTTTTCTCATGGAATTTTTTCCCCATGGGTTATGCACCATGTATATGGAATGAAGGAAGTGTCTGAGCACCCCAAAACACAAAAGGCTTTCAAACATTTCTGAAGCTGGCCCACGTCCCTTCAGACTCTGACAGTCTTATTAATGTAATTACCCCCACCAGGTTGCCTGTAACCAGCAGCCAGAGCCTGACTGGGTTGGTTAGCAGCTCAAGCAGAGCGAAGGGCCAGAGCTCTGAAATCAATTAATGGCAGTCAAGATCAAACTGGAAAGTGATATTATTGCCTTCTCATTCTGGGGAGCCAGGGCTGGGCAAGGAGGGGTCTGTGTGTCACACAATTACTTCAGGTCTGAGAGGTGCAAGTCAACTCATTAATTTTCCTCCTCACCTTGCTGAAAAGATCCAGACATTTTTGCAGTTGGGATTGGCTCACAGACAGTGAAACAAAACAGAACTGCAGCAGAAGCCAGCAATAGTGCATCAGGATTCAACAAGCACCAGTGAACGCTGCTCACGTTTGGCTGCTGTGCTCACCTGTCCTTTTGCATCATGAGAAAGCAGCACAAAAGATAATATATCAGCGCTCAAAGAGGTGTTTTTTCATCCTCAAACAGTGATGAAAAACCCCAAACCAAACCAACCAAGTTTTCAAAAGTGACTGCAGTCTTGCTTGCTGCAGGGCTCAGATACACCTTGACAGAGCCAATGTTCGGCAGAAGCCAGCCCATATCTCTAACAAACAGGCCACGTTGCATGTTCCTGTTTAGCTGCAGTCACTTCTGACATCATAAGTCATTCCTGAAAACTGGAGCCAAGAATGCCAAACAGCTTTCTCAAAGTGCAGGGCAAACTTTAGCCATTTCGGTGCATGAAGCTGAGTGAATGAAGCCTGTATGGACAATAGGTGTGACAAACACATGCCTTTTCTGATCTTAGAATAAAAGGAAAGAGGTGGCAAATCCCTCAGATTTGTCCATCAGTGAAAATTATTCCACAAATCCATCAGCTCCTCTAGTCCCTATCTATCAGCCACTTGCACTCTGAGCTCCATCAGTGAGCTGTGGCTGGTCAGATAAGCTAGCTGGTGGTTGCTTTCTCCCTGCCCGGATGACTGCACAAGCACTTCCAGCACAGATACCTCTATTTGACACAGTTGAATATACAACCTCATGAATATTCAGGCAGGTGATTTGAAAATTCACTTTTGTGTGCACTTGGTTGTTCATCTGAATGCTCTTGGAAAGCAAACAGCAAAGGAGACCCACCACGCTCACAGCACAGGTATTTGCTACAGAAATGGGAGCTTCAGCAGTAATTTCACTTGTTCTCTTAGCATAAGGATGCTGGGTGATGGCACCTGGGAGCATCACATCACAATGCTTTGTGCAGCTGCTTCTCTGCCCAGTGCTGCCCTCCTGGCCATGACCTGTGAGCTCATTCTCATGACAGTACATTTTCCATTGTAAGGAATGAAAACCACCCAGGACCTGCCTGGAAGACGGAGCTCTCTGAGCATTGCTGACTGCCCCGTACTCACTGTACTTACTGCCTTCAGATTCACTTGAACCAGAAATATCCTTGTACTGCTGGAGTCCTTGGAATAAGGGGAGATTTCACCTCTGTGTGTGTGTTGGTCTCAGGGAGCTGCTGTGCCAGCCAGAAAGGGGCTGCCTCTTTCCAGACGGCATTACTCAGGGAGGGCAAATTAAGACATACACTTAGTTCCAGTGTTCAGCCGAAGTTGAGAGAGCGCAAATAATCACTGCTCTAATTAGTCTAATTACTTCAGAGATAGCAGTGTTTTCCCCAGGAACTTTTGCTCAGTTGCTTGGCAAAGTAAACGTGGTGTGGCTAATTCAGGCCTCCATGACAGATCAGCTGAGCAAGCGCACCCCAGGAGAATGTGGGAGAGGCGAGGGGAAGCAGGATGGACTCCCATCTGAGCACAGCCCGCACCACGGAGGCTCTCGTGGAGGCTGGTACCCTCCCTGCTGCTTGGCAAGGAAAAGCGCTGTATTTTGGCAACCCACAGCAATTACAAAGCCATGGGGGCAAGACTATTCAACTCTCCCCTCTCCAGCAGGGGTGTAAAGCAGGTTTCAATCAGGAGAACTTGCGTAGGGAAGGAAGAAGCATTAAGGTATCAGCATGCCTGATGAAGCAGCAGAGGGTAACACTGTGCTGCACTTGCACCAGTCTCCCAGCCCTGCTCCCACATCTGTATGTGCTTTCCCAGGTGACTGGTCCCTGCCCTCCTGTCCTGGCTGTGCTCTGCTAGCTCTGGATGGAGCTCTGGGGAGTTTGCTCCTTGGTTTCTGCTCCTTAAAAGATGTTCCTGTTCCAGGAACCTTCCAACCCATCATTTTTAAAGGGACAGCAAAATTCAGGACCCATCACTGTATAAACTACTGCTTTGTGTTTACTGCAAGAGGGAAAAACCTCAGGAGGACATCTCTTCCTTCTCCCTTGCTTGGTTGCTCTTTTCCCAGCCCTGCTGCCTTTGGGGTTCTTCATCTCTACATGTCAAGCCCATCTCTTTCACCACTCATGGCTGCAAGCATTATGGCCCTTGGGCATTAACTTTTAGCTGTATTTCATCACAAGATGATACTCCCATAATGCCTCTTGCACCACACACAAATGACTCCATCTGCCCTTTATCAGATAGCAGCATAGACCTTCCTCTGTTCACATGGGCTGTCAGAAAGCCACATTATTGAGCTGCAGATCTGCCTGGTTTCACCATATCTCTGCAGCCTCCTCCCTAGGCAGAGGCATGGGCAGCACATGGAGGGACTCTCACTCCAGGCTGGCCAAAGAACTCTGGGAAATGGAGGAATGTTTTTATAAGAAAGCAGGAAATAAAAGCTTAGGCATTTGGGCTGGATCTGTTTTCCCACTCTGCCCCTTGTTTTGACAAGATAAGTTTTCAGCACATGCCACACTGATCTGGGGGCTTTCTTTACTTTTTCCTCCTTCCCTTTCATGAAGAACACAAAGTGTGATTTTTGCCCTGTTCCCCCCTTTTCGACTTTGTAACTTTACAAATGTTTCCAATTCATGAAAGTGACACTGTGACAAATTCACTTTTCTTCTTCAGCTCCGTCACTTCTGCAAAGTTGAGAAAGTTTCAAGAAGCTGCAAGTGGGAAAAGGGGAAAATGAAAGGAAAGGGCAGAGAAAAAACACTGTTTTTTTCCTTGTATTCATCTTAAGATTCCTGTCCCAGCACAGCTCAGTGTTCGAATTTGGTGGAACAGAAGCCACTCTGAACAAACCATCTGGGACTGCTGAGGTTATGCTTGGCCTCGGCCAGGTCCCATCGCTTCTATCACCTCTTGCTGCCACTTTGCCCAGGTCAGTGTACAGCTGCCCCTGGAGCTCAGGGGAGAAGCAGCATCTCTGAGCTGGAAGGCAGGAAAGAGCATCTCTCATCACCTTGCAGCTAGTCCTGACATGGTGAGCAAACAGTCAGCAGGGGCCAATCAACCACTCTACATCCATTTCCCCAGCACCTTCAGACGTTTCCATTTATTCTGCCCCAATGCAGAATGAGCCGTGTCAGCTGAAATCACTGATGACTGGAGCAGATTAGGAACATGCTCAGGGTCAGGAACTCCTGCGCTGCAGTTTAAAAGGCTCTTACCACCTTTCACCTCTTCTGTTTTTGCAGGCAGTCCAAGCTGTGCAGGATAAGCAGCATCAGCTTCTTTGGAGATGCTGATTCTCCTCTGGCTTCATGTTCCTGGGTGGCTTCCAGATGTACCAGAGGAGCTGCACCAGGAATGCCAGCCAGCCAGCCAGCTCTCGAATTAGAGACTGCAGCCATCTGAGAGCATGGATATGTCCTCCTGCTAAGGTAACTGTCCCTTCAGGGCAGTGTCCCTATGTCCGGAGGTGGCTGTCTGGATGTTTTGCTGTTCTCCCTGCTGAAGCACTGCCAGTTTGGGGCTGTCACAGCTGTTTTGTCATGCAAACAGCCCCTGTTGCCTGCCTGTCTTGCCTTCTTTCTTTAGCTGCCTGCTCTATCTATGCACTGGAACCTCTTGCAAAGAAACACTTCACACCCACCAATTTAATAATCCTCTTGAATATGGAGTGGATTCTGCCTGGGCAGCCTTACAGATCTGCTTATGAATAAATTGTCTCTGCTTTGTGAGCATAAATACATCTGCATGCTCTGGAAACATTGGTAATTACATTTGAAATGTAATCATATGGTAGAGGTGGGAGGGGGCTGGTTGCTATTGTGATTTATCTATTTGTTTTTCATTAAAAATTCAGTTTATTCCATCCTCTCTAAGTTGATGACCACTAGTGGGGGTCTCACTGGTATTTGGTAGGATCATGGTGGTTCTTGACAAGTAATGTCTGTTCTTTCTCACTCTGCTAGGAGCAGCATTCCCCTGGCACTGTTCCCAGCAGAGAGCTGTAGCTATCAGTCCAGCTGTATATACACAGACTTCCAAGGACCTTTTTCTTCTCCATTAATCTGTGCTCTTTCCTCTGATGGCATACAGTTACATTTTTCCTATGCACCGCGATCAATCCTGTATCCCTTGTATGTAATTCCCTTGTATGCTGAGACTTGAGGGCCACTGGTACTGCCTGATGCGAAATCCTTCCTGGGGTGTCCTAACCGTGGGGCAATGCTGATGCTTCCTCTTCTGTACAGTAAGCCCAGTGAGCAGAGTTTCACCTGGGCAACCCCTCAGTTCCTGTACGCACCTTCCACTTGTCCTCTGCAAAGATGAGTCCAGAACTGGCAGGAAGATGGAGCTTCCAGTCACTTTACCTTCCTAAATGTCTCTTAGCTTTCTGCCCTGCTGGCTTGCTCCTGTTGGTTTGTGATATCATAGAATCGTTTAGGTTGGAAAAGACCTTCAAGTTCATCAGGTCCAACTGTTAACCCAACTAAGGGAGTCCCTCTGACCAGTGGAGACATGGTCAGAGCTGAGGGCTTTGGCACTCATCCTAAAGGAGGAATCTGAAAAAGTTGGCTCACATCCTGAAATGCTGTTTCCCTCCTTGGATCTCAAGGCAGGCCACATGCTAGTTAAGCTGTAGATATTTTCCTGATAGACATCTTAAATTAGGAGAAATTAATCCCATCCTGAGTGCCCACGATGCACATAATTTCCTCTGTCTCTATGCAGCATAAAATCTCAATAAAATCCTTCCAGATGGAATACAGATCACCCCAGGCTCTTCTACCTCACACACAGAGCCACTGAGTATCAGTGATTCAGCTTCTCACATGCAACATGCATCCTGTTAGTCTGACTCACTCAGCTGAGGCATTGGACCCTGCCCATGCCATACACCTCTGACCCAATCTGCTTTGCATGATGTGGGATCTTTGCTCAGATCCTTTGACAGGTGATTTTGCACTGAGGGTTTTGGAGGGTAGTTCAGCTACTGGATGATCCATTCCCTTGAGTCCCTGGTAGGTGACTGGTCAGCCTGTCTGCACATCACAGATGGAGATCTTCCATTCTCCCCTTGGTTCATCGCAGGCTCCCGTTCTTCCTGCCGGTTGTGATGGTATTTATAAAGCCTTAGTCATTTTCACACCAAACACGAGATTACAATCTCAGTCTGAGCTCACTGCAGGGCAGTTACTCTGATGCTGCTGTGGTGCAGCAGACACCAGGATTAAACTGAATATGTGGCCATTGGAGTAGAGCAAGCAAAGATAATCACTGTAAGGGGATAAAACCAAAACAAAAAGGAATGCAATAAAGAAACACACCAAGCCATTTTAATTTATCTAAAGCAAATATGTTTGTTCTCCTGTTTGCTGAAGCAGGTCATGAATTATGATTGGAAAACAGACAAACACAGTAACTAAAGTCATATTAGTTGTTCTTTCATTTCTATTTATGAATGTGTATTAGAAGAGAAACATGATAGGCGAAATAATGAGTATGTGATATTTTTCTTTTTTAAATTAATGGTTATGTATTTCAGTGTGGATCATCTATCTTGGTCTGGCTTGCTGTGTACAGGAGCAGGATACCTCACAGCTAAACTTCCACTGCTATAGCAGAGCTATAACACTGTTATAGCAGAGCTATAACACTTGCTTCCACGGAATGGAAAACTGAGGCATGATAATGTCAAGGGTTGTATATTTGCGGTGAATGGAGTTCAATCCAGTTGGTGGCTGGTCACAAGTGGTGTTCCCCAGGGCTCTGTACTGGGGCCTGTTCTGTTTAATATCTTCATCAGTGATCTGGATAAGGGGATTGAGTGCACCCTCAGTATGTTTGCAGGTAACACCAGGTTGGGCAGGAGTGATGATCTGCTGGAGGGCAGGAAGGCTCTGCAGAGGGAACTGTACAAGCTGGATCAATGGGCTGTGGCCAGTGGTATGAGGTTCAACAAGGCAAAGTGCTGGGTCCCTGTACTTGGGCCACAACAACCCCATACAACATTCCAGGCTTGGAGAAGAGTGGCTGGAAACTGCTTATAGGAAAGGACCTGGACTGGTGGTTGACATCCAGCTGAACATGAGCCAGTTTGTGCCCAGATAGCCAAGGCCAATGGTATCCTGGCCTGTGCCAGAAATAATGTGGCCAGCAGGGAAGTGATGATCCCCCTGTACTGGGCACTGGTGAGGTGTTTCTGTAAGAGGTGACTGAGACCATGCCAATGTGGTGGTACAGAAGGGATGTGCACAGATATGCCTGAGGGAGAGGAGGACAGCACAAAGTTGAGAGGAACCAGTATGATGATGTTTGGAGAATCTGGGATGAGGAGCAAAATTCAAGGAGCACCAAATTGGCAGTGTCAGTGTAACCTCCTGGCTCAGCCATGTCCCTGAAATATGAAGAGGTGGTGGGTGGCATCCATCTGATGGCTTTTGCTGCCTCCTCTGTGGGCCATGGATCAGTCTTTCCAGGTACACCCCAGAGCCTGACTTCACGTCATCCTAATGGAATAGTACCCTGTTTGCTCTTCTGTTTTGAATAGCAAACCAGATTCTGGATCTACCTGCCCCATTACAGTCTATAAAGATGCTGATTGGTGGGAGGCCAGAATGGAGACATGGCCCTTGCAGCTCAGCAAGAAAGGTTAAATGAAGATAGGTGAGATGGCAGAGTAAGTGGAAGAAGGAAATGCAGGACACCTAGGCACACATAGGGCCTCTAAAGACTCAAGGGGAGGAACACCCAATCCTGCCTTTAACACCAGGATCTCTTCACATATCTTGGATGCAACCCAGATGTTTCTGTGTGGGATCAAGTGGCAAACAGGAGGCAATGGATATGTGTCTAAGGATTCAGCATTGTGGGGTTGTATGGTGACTATAGAGGATGAGAAGAATGGGAAGGAGGAAATAAAGAATGGGGTACAAACTGGGAGTGAGCAAGCACATAAAGGAGAACAAGGGGAAAAGTAGAAGGGAGAGGAGAAGAAATGCAGAAGGAAGGATTCTTGCTTTTCTGACTGCACATGAGATATGTGGGAGGATGAGTAATGTGCCACGGTATGGTAATACAGGGGCTTAATGCAAAGTTGAAGTGCAAATACAATAATGACAAAAGTTAAGGGAAACATAGGGTTTTCCATGTAAAACTGATGTTTCTTCATAAACCTTTATTTATCTTAAAAAATGAAGAGCAATCTCTGAGCCATGTAAGAGCATTTATCACATTGGAAGGTGAAGGCAGGAGGATGTGTAGTTCCCTGGCTGGTTATTCACATAAATTGCATTCAGATTAGTACTGAGCCCACCTAATGTGTTAGTTCTACAATCTCAGACAAGCACTAGCCCTGCACTTGTTTTAAAAATGAGCATATCTTGAAGCCCTGATGCCTACAGAACTGCAGAGGAAGAATTGAGTCTTATGGCATATCGGGCTTTGTGTACTGTTGGAAACAGGGCTATACATATATTTAAGACAAAAAGCAAGTATATGTGTGATTAAGAATTCTGGTGGTTTTGTGCTAAGATTCTGGTAGCTTTCAAGCTTCTATTTGTCACTGATACCAGACTAGGGTAGACAGAATAGTTGTCTATGTAATACAAAGAATCAGATCACTTTTCCTGTCTGACCTACATCATTGTCTTGTCCAATTTTATATAGTCCCCAGCAAGCTCAGGTTTTTCAGATGTCCTTCAGGTCCCAGCTAGGGATTACCTGTCTCTGCTACCATCTGTAACACAGGTGTCTAAAGCCTGCTCAGAGAATTGAAACAAAACAAGGAAATAAAAGAAAACAAATATTTTACTAAACCATTTCTGAGGGTGTGAAGTCAAACACTCAAAAATAAGGAAGCATCAGATTTAAGGATGCCTGCAAAATCTTCATTTAGTCATCCTGTGTGTATGCACTGTAATAGTCTTAAATATGTGATCTCTTCTCTCTTTAGACAGAATCCCTGCCTCATTCAGTGCACAAAATAGACTTGCTTGCTGAAAGAGCAACTCTTCAATATTTCATGTAGTCTTATCGTTCAGTGTGTGGCTCGATGCATTATTTACTGCAGACAACGCTGAATACAGAATTATTAATTTCTTACCAGGTTTTTCTCTTGTGCTTTGCCATAGAATCTTCCTTCTTTACGAAATCTAATGACTATATCTTCACAATACAGTTGAGGGATGAATCAATACTAATGTCCTCATATTATCAAGGGGGCAGTGATGCACATGTAAGTATTAAAGTCAAAATAATCCAAAGTTTCAAGTATTTTTTAGCTTCCATTTGAATTATGTGACATGGCTTCTTTTTAGCACTTGGGTATTTTTAGTTATGTGTGTTTTCTATGCTGATGTTGGCTGCAGCTGCGTGGTTACTGGTTTTGCTCTTGCAGAAGTACCTATCTGCATGGGCTTAATCTTGCTTGCTGTGGATGCTTTATAGTCAGCAGAGAGATAGGTGATAGAGCCACTAGTGTTTAGAGCAGGATTTATCTCTCCTTAAAATAGATATCAAAACCAGATCCTATTATCTTACCCTTAATGTGCCTGCTTCTCTTCACACAGAATAAAGGAGCCTAAGGCAAAGAGATGAGAGTTAGACAACCAATTGTGGATTTGGTATTGCAGGTGAATTCCATACTTAAGCAAAATAAGTAAGAAAGCATCCCAAACAACTCTGCAGCCTTATTTTTGCAGAAGCTGGAAGCTGGGTGAATAAGACAGAGGGTGGCCATTCTGGGGTCATGATGGGAGACCATTACTGTGGAGGGCCAGATTCAGCTCCTACTTCTGCCATAGAGTTTCTAGATAGAATCGTAGAATAGTTCGGGTTGGAAAGGACCTTGAGATCATCCAGTTCCAACCCCTCTGCCATGGGCAGGGACACCTCACACTGAACCATGGCACCCCAGGCTCTGTCCAACCTGGCCTTGAACACTGCCAGGTATGGAGCATTCACAACCTCCCTGGGCAACCCATTCCAGTGCCTCAGCACCCTTACAGTAAAGAACTTCTTCCTTATATCCAATCTAAACTTCTGCTGTTTCAGTTTGAACCAGGTGATGCTAAGGGAACGTCCCTCAACCTTCTATTAAGCTTTTTCAGTACTCACCTTCTATGAAAGTCCCTTCTTGCTTTAAATATCTACACATCAGTTTTCTCTTGACTTGGTCTCTGCAGGGTCCCTTCACAGCCTGTGATTCTCCAATATTTCCTTCAAAACAAACCTCCCTTTTAAAACTCGGATCCCAGATGAGATAAAACAGAAGGTGAAATACTGTAATTTCCCACTGGCAGAAACTGCAGATGTTGCTAGAGGAATAGGCAGTGGCAGACTTTAAGCAGCACAGCCTTGGCTCACTTCAGTGGCAGCAAACCTGTCTCTGCCCTTGAACAAAAGAAACCAGATCTGGAGGAAAAAAAAAGCAACAATTTGGGAAAGAAACAACAGTCATCACGTTGTTAAAGTTCAGGCATGTGCTCCAGAGGACTGAGACAAAGTCAGAGAGAATAAATCCTGGTGTTTTGTCACTGTTGTATGGTTGAATGAGCTATGCTAAGCATTCTTTGAAGAGAATGTTTTAATATAAAATTTATGGTTTTTGGCTTGAAGAACCTTTATGCTATTTAGTCTGGTTTTGTGTACTGAGAGATTTTTGTCCAAGTTAGCTGTGGAATGAGCCTGATAACTTGTGTTTAACAAGAGCATCATCCAGAACAGCATCCTATTTTATCTAATGAGGTGGGTCTGAATTTCTGGCCCATCAGGAGTCTCTCCTGCTAATACTTTCATTTCTGATTTTAATCTGTGCAACTTTCCCTTCCAGCTAATGGTCACTTTCTCTGGTACTTTATGGAGCATATTTTAACTTTCTTCCTTTGGAGACTGTTTACACACCACGTAGCGAGTCATTTCTCGGTCTTGTCAATGTTTTTTGGGTAGTCAGAATGCATTGAATTCCTTCAGTGTTTCATAAAACCTCATTTTTCCACCCTTCACATAATTGTATTGCTGTTCACTGTACTATCTTCAATTTTTCACTTCACTAAATGCAGTATTCCAACATTAGTCCCACCATTGCCTTGTAAGATGTAAAATAACTAACTAATCCCTTGTTTATCTATCTGAAGATCACACATGAGTGTCTTTTATCATTGCACTGGTTAGATCAAATTGAAATCCTGTATTTCGAGTGGGAAAGAGCTAATGGCAGATAGCATAGAGGATTCTACTCCTTGGGAAGGGCTCCTGTGGCACCTCACAAAACTACAGCCACTGCTGATGTAGTAACAGCAATGTTAATGGCCCGCCCTGCTTGTTTGTCATGATTTGTACAGGAAGGTTGTCACAGGTGCCTGACTTCTTTTCACGCTTGCCAAAGCTGTTGATGTAATTTTTTTCCCTGTTCATACTTCATCATCATGAGGGGCTGAATAATGAAATAAGGCAAACCTGCCTCTGAGACACCCTAGGGCTGGCTCGGAGGCAGTGATTGCCAGAAGTGTTCCGGTCTTGAGAGGGGTATCCCAGCAAAGATTGCCAGTATCATTTGCAGGGCTTTAATATGTGCTTCGTATTGTGTTTTAATCTCTTGATTTAGAAAGTCTTCCTAATTAAGAATTCCTGTAGGAGTTAAAGAGATAAAATGATCAGCAGATACTAATGTGTCTTTAATGATCACATAACTTGGAACAAGAGCTTCCATTGATCTGCTTTTTGGTACTGACAAGATGTTGGTTGAAACCAGAGTCTGGTTCAAAGGGCCAGGTCCTGTTGTCTCAGGCAACTGTGTTAGTGCCTGGTGTGCTTCTGCCACATATTCCTTCACAGACCATGTAACATTGCCCAGTACTTCAGAGCAAGGAAACAAAAGTCACAGCTAACTTGGACTCCAGGAAGAGATCAGGGCAGATGAGAGGGCAGGCTCATATCCTAGGTTCCTTTCATAGCTGGGAAGTTCTTGTGAGCTATTTTCTCCTGATCCTTAAGTGTGGACTACAACCTGCAGATCAGGAAAAGGGGGCAAAGCAAACCAAAAGTGCCCAGAGTTAAAGCTGCAGGCAAGATTCCAACAAGCTCCATGGCAAAGACTTTTACCCTGAACCTGAAAGCAAGAAATGCTGAACTTTGCAATAGAAGTTGTTAATGCTGCTCTAAGTGCAGTCTTGTAGCCGGTTTAGTGCCAAACTTGCTTGCATGTGTCTCTCTGTCCAGCATCTAGAGGGTGAGAGGAAGGGAGAAGGAAAGGATGTACTCTCAGGAGCCAGATTATGAATCAAGAGAAATTACTCCTTCCTGAACTTGGCAGGCAACCAAAGGAAGCTCTGAAGTAGAGGATTCAAACAATAAATGATAGTCCATTATAGCTGATGGAGATAATTTCTTTTGTGTGATGTAGCCATTTGCTCTCTATGGACTCCCAGCTGCTATGGGTAATTTTGCCTTAAAGGATATGGGAGTATTGTAAATAGATTTGACTCAAGTGTCTTGATCTAAAGCTTTTTCTACTCCATAGTACGGAGGGCATTAAAGACAGTTTACAGGGTATTGTTAAACTAGCATCAGCTTGGAGGATTTGTCTCCAAGCAGATCTTTACATCAAGCAACCTCCCTGTAATGGACTTGCTGCAGATCCTCAAACCTTTGCTATTACATGACTGTTGAGGAAAAGTATGGTCGGTAAGGCTGTTGCAAGACATTTTCCTCAGTGTCTGGCCATATGTCTGTGTGGTGGACACCTCCCTCCCCTGCTGTGCACAGCATCATTTAAACTCCTCAGCTTGTTGTAGAACAGGCATTAGGCCCAAAACCTGGAGCCACAGAACACAGCAAGTAGGAAACAGTGTGCTGTGCTCAAATACTTTGTTCATTGCAGGCTTGATTTTCCCAGTAAGGACAGGAAAACCTGCTCTGAAAAGCATTATTTGCTGCTGATAATCACCTACTACGAAGACCTCAGTATTTCAGAATGGTCTGACAGTTAGTGCTCTCTTTCCTAGTGGGGGTTCAATGTATGCTAAGGAGTAGGTGTAACATTGGAGGAAGCCTCTGGTTGCCTGCAGCTGAGACCAAGGAGGTACCTTAGTACGTCACAGCCCTCAGTGAAGCATGGACCTGCCCAATCTCATTTTGAATACAAGTAGGCTTTCCATCATGCACAAATACCTGTGTCAAATTTCACAAGCTACCTGTTTTACACAGAGAATCTCCTTCCTTATGTTTGCTTTGAATTTGCCATCCGATAGCTGACTGCAACTGGCCATAGAAGAGAAAATGAACAATTGCTACATTTATTTCTGAGTTGGCCATTCCCTTCACCCCATGCTTTTGTAGATAATTGCCCCACTTCTCCCATCCCCTACACAGGTACCTTCCTCTCAGGATGAAGAATCATAGTATATGTGGTTGTTCCTTGAATGGAAATCCCTTCCACACATCTGTGAATCAATTTCATCACATCTGTTGCTCTTTTCTCTTTGGTTTATTGTTATTATTATTTATTAATTTATTTATTTCACATTCTTGTGTATTCTTTCTGAGGAGGGGATCAGAACCACACAAAGTGGTCATCAGGTGCTTGCCGTCTATGCTTCCCGTCACTGCCTGTTATTGTAATGATTTCTAACATCTTTTTGTCACTAATTTACCTTAAGTTAATTCCAGTTGCCACCACCCTTACCTGTGAATGCTGACAATTTAATTACCAACCTGTGTTCTGTGTTTTTAACAGTTATTTCTCTGTGGAAGGATGTTCCCTGTCATTCCGTGGTAGTTCTAACTTCCTTAAGATTTTTTGGTGAAAGACTTTGTAAAATGGCTTTAGAAATGCAAATACACTATCAGCTGGATCTCCCTTATCCCCATGTCTATTGACGTCTTCAAAGAGCCACACTAGACTGTAAAGCATCATTTCCCTTTACAGAACTGCATGCACTCTTCCCCATTATGCTTTATTTATCCATGGATGCTCTTTTATATTGCAGTTTCTATCAATTAGTCTGGTACAGATGTGCTACCAGTCTGTAGTTTCCCAAACCTTTACATAGGAGGCTCTTTAAAAATTGAAGCTGCATTAGCTGCTTTGAAGAGTCTTCACATTGAGACATTTTTACATTTCAGCTTGCACACCAGATATTAATTGAGCCATTTCACAGTGGAGCTCCTCAGGTGCTTTTGGAAGAATATCCTTTGGTCTTGGTGATTAGTTAATACCTTTTGATATACTTCATGATCTCCTTCAATATTGGAATGATCCTCTCATGCGTTCCCTTACAAAGAAAGGGTAGCTGTGACCTCTTCCATGGTAAGAACAAAAACTGTATTATTATTTTTTGCTGTGCACTTATTTATCTAAATTTTGGTTACCTTTTTTCATTTTCAGTACCTTTTTTTGCCTCTCTGTTTTGTCATGCTGGCTTCTCTTGGTTTTTCTAATGTCCTTTGGGTGAGTGAAATGCATTTGCTCAGAGTCCCAGTGTGATTATCTCTGGTTTCTACAGCATAGATGAGGATTTTACTTTTCCGACTGTTCCTTTCATTCTCTTTTAAAGACAAGACCAATAATAAGGAATAATTTCCACTTAGTGCCTATTTTTTTAAGTTAAACATATTGCATTGTTTTTCTTTATTTTTCTTATCCTGACGTATAAGCACTTTGTGATGACTGCTGTAGATGACTTTCTACAGTAACATTCCAGTCAGGTATCATGCATTGCTTGCACTGGATGCAACAAAATTAAGAGCTAGTTTCCCTCTTGCAGTTACTGACTTTTCCATTTCATGTGGCATCATGATCTAATGTGAAATGTATCCAGTACACCTGAGTAAATAAAGCTGAGAGAGAACATTACCAATATATGTTAGTTTATTGGTTTCTTTGAGTCTAATTCCATTCACTGTAAGACTAGCCTGAAACAGTAACAAAATGTCTTCTGATATGGTTCTCATAGTAAGACATGCTTGTGGCTATGAAAACATTAGGGTCTTGTAGCATGTAGGAATTGCTATTAGCAAATAGGTACTACTTTTTAATGACCCAGGGAAGCCAAGGCCAGCAGTCGTGAGCGCAGAATGCTGAACAAAGCAGGTACAAGTCCTTGTCTGATTCCATTTTTGACATAAGATTATTTCGAAATAGATCCATTTTTCCATTGCAAAAGCTCTACTGTTAGAAAAAGGGTAGACAGAGATTCAAACATACTTGCCAGGACAGCTCGGCTTGCTATGTATGCAATACAGAATATATATGAAACAAATAACTGCAATCATCAAACAACAACCAATACTCCTTCCACCCACTTTTCTCTAGTGTAGTGGCAAGGTGAGTCACGTATGAACTCATATTGCCCATTTCATTTATTACTCCAGCCTGACCCAGATTCTGCTTTACAGCTTTCCTAAATTTTTTCCCCCTTAAAATAATTTAAGTTTCTCTCCCTTACTGCACTATTCAGAAAGTCATTCAAAGATATGGTTTTTCTTTCTGCCTTCTGGTCTAAATTTATTCATAACCACTTCAATCTTATTCCTGCATTCTTCTCTAACTTACATTTTTCTTTTTGTTTCTTGTTATTTACAACCCACTGTTTTTTAAAGAACCATCGTATCGTCTCTGAGACATTGTTTTACTGTGTTAAATAGGTCTGGGAGCTTCTGAAGTCATTGTAGCCAGAGCCAGAACAGCAGTACCTAAGAGCCACTGAGATTTTCTTCTGCAGTATGTAAAACAAGTGGTATCAGAGCGCTGAATTTCATGTTGGAGACACATGACTGATGTCTAAATAACAGCAAATCTATACCAGTTCTTTATTATCCTTGAGTATCCTCCAGTCATGCATTAAAGAACGTGACCCACAATTGCTAACCCTTGTTTTGTCATTCTATCAAAACAGACTTGATGTTATTTAATTGATTTGTTTTCTTGTGAAAATCAAGTGTCGTTACCTCTAATGTCACTTATAGTGTATGTGGTAGACAGTTCCACTTACAATCAGTATCCTGATACAGTTGAACTGTTAGGTGCTATACAGACACGAAAGGCGGCGTTGTCTTTGTCCTGGGTGTTTGCATGGTGATATATCCTCTCTCGTACTGCAGGGTGACCCCCAGCTCCCTCCCTGCTATGGCTGAAGGGTCTTAAACCTGAGATACAGCTCTCCTGTTCTTGTACCTGAGACCTAATAATTCATTTAGCTGTAAGTCTGTCTAAGGTTTCATTTATTGCTCTAAACCTTCTATGGAGCCGAGTGCATCTATGAGTGTTCAGGAATTCTTTGTGTCCTGGGAGATATTGTTTCAAATGAATGCCTTTGCAAGGCTCAGTATGAGTTCAGCCTGCAGTCTAGCATGAACTGTGGTTACATTTCAAACTCAAAGCACCACACAAATTAAGCAGGAAAATGGGGGTTTGATGCCACTGGCAAAAAGAGAACCCTGAATTCCTTATTGGTGTGAAGTCTTAATGGTTTTCTTTTCTATTTGTACCATCTCTCCCCTCCTCTCCTTCCCCTACCCCATTGTCAACCCCTCCTCCCTCTCCTTGCACAGTAGTCTGGATGGGATGCCGTCCATTGGGCAGAATTATTTATGAGAGTTCTGCAAATGTAGATGTACTGTTTCCAGCTAATAGAACTCAAATCACTTGCACTGCACCATTAGAGAGGAAACCTACCCAAGTAAATTATATACAGGCCATAAATGGAAGCAGTTGTAGTGTTTTTATGACTCTATAAAACTCTGGAAGTTTATTGCTATTGAACAAACATGTAATCTGATTCTTAAAGCTGAATATTAGAAACCAATAGGGTCCAAAACCTGTGTTTACCTTCAGACCTATTGCCATGCCGGTCATACCATGGGAATTGTTTTTCAGTGGCAGCTTTTGAGAACCATTAATAAATCCAGGACTACTTTCTACAAGATGTCCCTGCTGGCTCAAACAGTGCAATAGAAAGGTTCAGTGGAGCAAACAAGTAACTCCAGTTTAATATTCTCTTTGTCTATAAAGAGGTCCTGTGAAGAGTTCAGTAAAGAGCTAAAAAGCAAAGGTGTTTTGGACTTAAGTTCAGCATTCTGCTGCCTGTGAAGAAACAGAAGTGTGGGGGTTTTTCTATTTCATTAAGAGCACACTGTTATTGCATAAATAAGCAAGTCCAGGCCAAGATGGAGTGTTTAACGTTGGGGTTGTTGACCTGATTTACTATATTTGTAAGACATTGGCAGTACAGCCGGCTTTTCTAAGAGTTGGTGAGATTCATCTGAACAAAACTGTATGCACAGCTGTGCCTGAGCTGAGCTACACCCTGCAGGGATTAGTGGGACATCGCTTCTATAGAGGCAGGACAGTGTGTGATCAAAAGCTCTCTGATTCATGATTTCCTCTTTCTCATGCCTCTGTCCCTTGTTGTTGTTTTGACTTGCACCATTTCTGTTTGAAGACAGCCTGGCCTTTCAGTGGGGTGAGTGAGCGTGAAAAGCTCTAAACTCCTCAAGGTCTATGTCCTTTCTCTGTTTTTCAGTGATACTCAGGGCCTGGGACACTTTTGTGCTCATGGACTACAGGTTTCTGCCAGGAATGCTTTCTCTCTGGGAGCAGGGGAAGGCATAGACCACAATCAGGCAGCATCTCTGAAGCGTTAGAGGAGAACTGCGCTGCAGAGTCATGGACTCTCTGTCCCTGTTCAACCCTTTCTTTGTGACTGGATGATTTTATCCCCATGGTGTCCTCTTGCTCTGGAACCAGTGTACATTGGGTTTGCAGCTTGTTTGGGTAGGACAAAGGCACACCAAGTTAGGGAATGAGAATTATGTTTCTGTAGAAATTATCTCACAGCCTTGGTAGGGGAGGGTGAGGAAAAGAAAGGGCAGGGACAGCCATTCGTTAGAGCACCTGCACTCCTCTGGTGTCTAGGATGGAGGAGGAACATTGGATGAGTGGTAAAGATCTGTCAAAGCTGAAGGCCTGCTGGAGTGACGGTGGGTGTGCACAAGGTGGCATGTGTACCAGAAAGGCCTGGAGTGGGAAGATGCAAAGGGTTGTGGTGTAGCTGTTGCACCCCCATGCACTACAAATGAATGGCAGCAAACCCTCTTGGGGCTGGAGGCTATAGGTGGCTCTAGTAACATCGGTGTATACATAGCTAAAATCAAGTATTATTTTTTCCGTTTCCTTTGGAAAAAGAGAAGTGCTTTTCCTGCTTAAATGCTCAGATTGATAAAATGTAGAGGAAACTTCAAGTCTTTTTGAGACATTTATGTGTGGTTGTTCCGAGCACTTGGTAAGAGCAACAAGAGACTCATTAAGGCCACTTAACTGTGTCTGCTATTAGATGTGTCTTGGGGAACCTCTGGAGCACCCTGCAGAGCCAGCACTGTGGCTGGACAGTTGCTCCAGCATTTGCAGGGTTATAAATCTCTCCCAAAATAAGGAATTTCAGACTTACCCAGTAGTGATAACAATCCATAAAAATTTAGTAGTAGCAACAGTAAGTAAAGTACTGTGATGCTGATAGTAAAAGAGAACCAAGAGGAAAAAAACTGACTTGAAAAATCATTTCAAGTTTAGCTATTACCAATAATGAGCCTCAAATACATCACTGAAGGGAAACTCAAATTAATGAATAAGAAAATTGAAAACTTATCTGAGCAGGGCATCAGTTTTCCTCATCACATGTGATATAGCAGAGGGCATCAGTGACTCTCCTCCAGTCAGCAACGTCCTCCCTCACCCCTTAGAACTGTAGGCAGCATCCATGTGCAGCTGGATGTGGACAGCAGCAGGAGGAGCTGGGTGCTGTAGATGCTCTGCATGTGGCTGGCTCTACCTCTCAGCTCCTGGTCACAGCTTCAGAGTCTACAGATAATTCCCTTACTGAAGAACCTGTTTAATTTTAGGAACATTTTTTTTTAGGAACTTTTCTTTTTATGCTACCAGCACATTATGAAATTCACGTGGTGGCAGCTGTTAAACCTAATGAAACCCACCGCAGGGAGGAAAACAAAGTATCACCTGCAGAAAGAGCCATCGGGGACCATGGATAGATGTAAGTGGCTGAGAATACTGCATTTCCAGACAGTATAGCCTATTTTATCAGTTCACTGTGGGGAAGATGAGACAGAACTGGGATGAATAAGGCCATGTGACTCCTAATTACAAGAGAGATTTTTCAGGGTAGCAGATCTTTCCCTAAGGAAATACCTCCAAATAGCAAGGACAGATGAACCTTCCTTGCACGGGATTAACATCAAGGAGGGCATGGCAACCCAGGGTCCCACTTAGAGCAGAGCTATGATAAAGGCTCAGACTAAAGGGAACCAGGAAGTGAAGTCACAGATGAATCAGGGAAAATGCAAGCATTATGATTCAGTTACTTTTGTGTGGAAAGCAATAAATGCAAAAGGTATGTGAAAGAACAGTGTTTGTCCTCTTGAAAGTAGGACAAGTGGAAGGGAGAGCTGTAAATAGTCTGGATGTGGAGCTGCCCACAACCTTTGTAAAGAATGAAACCCATCAACACAGGCGGGGACCAAAGGTGTCCAGATACGTCCAGCAGAGGATCCACAGTGTGAATTCAGCTGGTCGAGGCTGTCAGGATGCCTGCAGTAGAGAAAGCATCTGCCAGGCATTTGCTATCTAATTCTTAAAACCTGTCACCAACTGTGTTACCACTGGGTTACTGAATACATGGAGATAGAAACTCAGCAATATTGATAAAGAAGTGTTAGACTAGGGAAAAGCAGCCCTCTTCAAGGACAGTCTAAACACCACTGGCATAACTGGGCCATTGAAAAGGAAGCTGTGAAACAGAAGGTGTTATCATCTAGGGAGGGTAGGAGCTGGTACTCACAGCAGGGCATGGAGGAGAGAGGATAGGGAGGAACAGGCGTGTTGATGGGATTTGGGCAGGATGCAGATGGAGTCTAAAGCCATGCTCTGCAGATGGATGTTAGAAATAGACCCCGATGCAGCCTATGAGACTGCTGGAACACTTGGCACTGGTTGAAGAGGGACTGGCAAGTCCCCAATTAGAGTCTTTGCTCCGCCTGTGGGAATTGTGCAGAGGGAACAGAAGCCAAACAGCAGTGAGAGAATCTCAGGTGAAATCCAGGTCTGCATCAACACAACTGCTGAACCTTTAAGGAACAAGCTCTTCATTTGCTGTGCCTGGGGACCCACATCTAGGTAGAGGAATGTCATGGACTCTGCTTGAGAACGTGCTCAGAAACAGTGGGAGGATGAGTCGTCCTGTCAGCTGAGGGTTCGTCCATGTGTACCAGGGCTGTCTATACAGGTGACTAGCACTTGGTTCCGAAGGAGCTCCCTCACCACTGCAGCAGCTGCCACAGTGATTCTTCGGCATCCAGGCTGCCAGTGGTGTAAAGGAAGAGGGTCACAACTTCCTAAACCCAATAGTAGGAGTAAAATAACACAACGGCTACAGGTGAAGTGAAGTAGGTGGGATCTGGGGCCCCTTCTGTTGGATGCCTGATAGCTAGCAGGAGCTCCTTCTGAAAGATGAAGCACCCTGATGTTATTTGTAGGCCAGCTGAGAAAGGTAACTTCTTCCACTGATGGTCATGTAAAAACACAAGACACTGATGTAAGCACAGTCTCTCCTTTTCTTCCTATCCTGTTTTTTTCATCCATGTAGATCCAGGGAGCTTAATGGACTTTTGATAGCAAATGTGAATGCAGAACACCCTTTTTTTGCCAAGCCTGAAAAGTGTCAAATCTGAACTGCAGGCAGATATCGCCTGCAATGTCTCTGAATTTCCAGAACAGGAAGATACAGGACTCCAAGCTTGACCACTACAGGGCAGTGAGCCATGGAGAATGCCTGAGGGCCAGGGACTGGTTGAGCAAGCTGCTCTAGTGGAAGATGTCCCTACCGGTGGCAGGGGGTTGGAACTGGATGAGCTTTAAGGTCCCTTCACCCCCAACCAGACTGGGATTCTATGACTTCGTGTGCCTGCCAGGGACATAGGAAGTCATGAGTTTTAACCAAGGCTTTGCAAGGGCTAACAGTCCTGGAGACCTAGGCAGGCAAATAATTTAGCTTATTAATTCTGTAAAGGGGGAAATTCTGTGTGGTATTGGCATGAGGAGAGAATCTACCCTTATATGATGTTATTACCAGAAGAATTGCACTGACTGGTGGTGGTCAGCTTTTGAGGTTCCAGAACTCCACAAAGACTGTGCAGGATGACAGGGAAAATAAAAATTATGCAGGTACAGACAGGTTAGTACAGAAAACACGTCATGAGTCTGGGGTCTGGGACTCCCTAGGAAGCTCTAAAGTAATGATGTGGGATGATATATGTGAACAAACTTGTTCTACCAGGAAAGCAGTCTGCCTATCTCTCTGGTGGCTGATTAAGCTCAGTTGTAAATATTTACCCTACTTCTGTGCAGCTAAGGTTTGAAAGCAAAAGAGCTATGACACAAATGGGCTGCACTCGGCCTGGAAACTGAAACCAAGTACGGAGATACCAGCATATGGAAGTGTGTAATAGATGCTGGCAGCAGCGTTGGCAAGTGCATTAGCCCAATGAGGTCATGGCTGCAGCAGTGGAAGACAAGGTCTGTGTATGTGAGTGTGGCAGAGTGGGCTGAAATGAGATGGATCCCTCCTATATGAGGTTTCCATGGGCAGATGGTGAGAAGGCAGAGACTACAGATACACCTGCAAGAGTCCTGCAGGCTGATCCCATTAGTGATGCATGAGTGTATGTGTGCATGGGGGCAAGCATGGCAGGAAGGTGTCTCTGGATGGTGGTAGCCTTAGGTTGGCTGCCTGGAGAGGAGTGGGGCTGTGCCAGAGGGGCTTGAAACCAGGAAGAGGGATGAGGGGCAGACCAGTCCATGTCAAATCTCTCTTCACAATTGGAAGATGAGGTGCCACTTACTTTTCTTTAGCCATTCTGTCTTTGTACTTGTCTAAAAGAGGTGATGGTGCAGGATAACCTGCAGTATCTTTCATCATTGTTCCTTGAGGAGACAGCTATGCCAATCTGTTCCATGCTATGCAAGTCTCAAGGGGTTGGAGGGTGGCATTTCATGCCATTAGCACTTTTGCTTTGCTGATGATGCAGCTTTTATGCTGATTTTTGGCTCTGTTAGCCATCATGTACTCCAAGGGACTGGAGCTGTTCATCATGGCGGTCACCTCCTGGAAAGCAACAGGTAGGTACTGGTTGGGGAAAGAGTGAAATATTTCTGTAAAATTGAAATGGAGTCCTGATGCCATGTTCCACTGAGAATGGGTTTTAGGCTTGCCAGAGATTTTAGCACTCTGTATGGTTGCTGTTGTAGTCAGAATTTATCTCTTTCTTGAACAGAGGATTAATTTCAAGTCCTTGATGAAGAGCTCTCTTGGTATCAGTGGGCTTTGTGTTAGCACTTGGGTTAAAGGCACAGATTAATAAGCATGGCAATCATTAAGGAGCCTCTCTGATTGTCTGTAGCTCAAAACTCCACTGGCTGAATTGGGCCATTGCCCTTAACAGAAAAGGAAATGTAGCTTCCTTTCCTTGCTTTTCGTTTTTTTCTCATGTTTTTACCTGTTTACAGGGAGTTGCTGACAGTGAATGAGCTTTGTGGTATTGATTTTTTGTGAATAGGAAAGTCTTACATAAAGCTGCAAGGCCAGGGAAAGCACTGTTATGCATAATCTTTGGGAACCTTGGGGTTCAGTAACATCCCAAGCTTGAAGCTTCCGGGAGAAGATGAAACCATCCTCTCCTGGAACGACCACCACAGTTATTAGTTTCTGCTCACCCCACAACAGCCTTGAGCTCCTTGTGGGCTAGCATTCCCTTGGGTGTCCTTGGCCCACAGTAGCTGGGGACAATGGAGGAGATGGGAGAGGACTGAAGAAATTTTTCCTCATCCTCTACAGGAGCTGGATACAAAGAACTGACGGCATGGGTGGAGGATATAGAGCACATCAGAACCTGAACACTGGGAGGTGTTGAAGGAGCTCAGTGTGTCTCTGTGCCATGTGAGCTAGGCTTCACTTACAGAGGAAACTACTACAGCAGAAAGCATAGGTGCTATTTTAGCTTCTGTGAGGTATATGATTTACCTGCCAAAACCTTTGCTTTAAAAGTGAGCAATACATATCATTAGAGCACTTCTTACGTGGTTTAACAATCACCTAACTGACAAAACAGTCATCAGCAGGGAATAATCACGTAATGATGCTCTTTCTAGGGGGTCCTATTCCTTTACTAGTTTGTATTATTCAACACTGATTTGGGAAAGACACCTAAAATTGTTAGAGAAATTCAGAATTAACACAAAGATTGGAATAATGGTATGTAATGAAGATGGTAGATCATAGATACAGAACAGCTAGGTTCGAGTTGATGGTTAGATGTAATGCACAAATATAGAGACAAGGATCATCTAGATGGCTTTACTGAGGAGGTCTTTCCATCTGCCATCCAGACCCAACAGTGGAAGAAAGCAAAGTGTCTCACTGTAACAGTTTATGGTGCCTTGCTGTGCCTGCTGGGGAGTCAAGAGCATCTAGGAAGCTTGCTTTCCAGCTACTGCCACTCCATGTTTCCAACCTAAGAGCTCCCAGCTCCTCAGGGTCCTGAACTCACCCCAGATTGCAGGTATGGAAAGATTTTTCTCTGAGCTGTTTCCAGAGGAGCAGTGTTCTCCTGCTCACAGGAGTTATCTATCCATCTTTTCTCAGCACCAGCCAAGCTAAATGAACTGAACTTATCCTAGTGAGGAATTCAGTTCTTGATTACAAAATTGGAAACACAGTGGGAATCCTCTGATGCTGGTGGACTAAAATGTAGTCAGGCTGGCTCAGTGAGGCTCTGACCCCCTTCACTGTCTGCAGAGAGAGAAGAGACCCTCCAGAAAGCATCCTGACCAACCTTAGACATCAATCTTAGGGTAGGATGGGCTGCTGTGGAAACACTTCTCTCTCCACTGACTATACAGAAGGAACCCAGACAGCTCAAATGAGACATGCAGCTTTTCGATAGTGAAAATGAATCCAGTTCAAATGGTGAAATCAATCTCACTCAAAAGTAAGGAGGTGAAATGGAGTGTGAGTTTGTTCACCCATGGCTGCGGCAGGAGATGATTTAGATGGGGATGAGCTGATCCCTGAGCCGCCTGCCAGGCTCTCTTTCCCTTTGCTTCTGTTTGAGATGGAGTCATTCTCCTTTCAGCTCTCTCCTTGTTTACTGTATTTCTCAATATTTTATCAAACAGGGATTTAATACTGCAAGTCCCTCCATCGTTTGCTCTCTAGTCTGTAGGGCTTTTTCCTCCTCCTTTGTTTCAGGGAGCTCTGTTAGGAAACATAAATACGGCAAATGAGTGTTTGGTTTTCTGTGGATCTGATGCTTTACCCTGCTACATGATTAGTGCCCTCCCTTTTGCATTAACCAGCCTTTTCTAAGACTCAAAACATTCTGGGACTGCTAAAAAGCTTTGTCAGTTTTGTAAGCATAAAAAGCATAAACTGCTCATTAGCCCTTTCATGGAAGGTCACACATGAAATAATATTAATATTAGGGGTATCACACCAGACAGGCTGAGAGAGGTGATGCTGCTGCAGCTCTATGCTCCAGCTCCAACCATCAGCAAGGCTCAGCATGGATTCCCAGTAGGCACATGAGCATAAACACATGTATAGCACATATACACACACACACACATATATATATATATATAAACATATGTACGTATTCCCCTGGATCCCATTGTTTGGCACCTGGACATATGCGACCCTGAGGCCACAGTTGCTGGTACAGCCTTCACTTCTCAAAATAAAGTCCCTAACCCAGGAAATGAGTTGGAAATGGCATTTGATACAACGACAAGACAGACTGCACTGATCAGGTGCAGGACATTGCCAGGCAAGCATACAGACCAGCCCTCTGTTTACACACAACTGGGCCTTTTTATCCCCTTATTCCTCTATTTCCCCAGAATTTTCCTCCCCAAATCACCTAGATACCCCTTTTCCCCACCTTTGGTTCCTCCCCAAATGCTGCATAATTAGTTGCCTGTTCAAACGCTCTTCCCCTTTGTACCATGGTGCATCCCACCCTCTCAGTCCCAAAGGTGCTTTGGCATTGACTCATCATGGTGGGTTTCATGCCTGGACCAAAGGGCTGGGACAGCCCTGTGAGGGACCCAGAGATGGTGTCCCTTCCCCTGAGCCCATCATTTATGTTCCTGTCTGCCTTTGTCCCCCTGTGCTCCTCTGGGACTGCGGAGATGAGCCTCATGGGCTAGTGGCTCCTTTGATGGCCTGGGAGCAGCTGGGAGTGTTACTGGTGTTATTTGGGCTCCCCCCCCCCACTGCTTTGTCTGTCTGTGTCCATTTCTGAGGATGCAGATGAGTTTTTATCACCTAAGCCAACGACTGCCATGAAGTATAATCTTGGCATCAAAGCACATTTTCCCTTCCACCCTCAGCTACCTTCTGTCAGTTTTTTAATGATGCTCCTTTTAGACGGTAGGGCTCCCTTTACCCTGCTGTAAAAATGGAACTTTTTTGCCTTTGCTCCTCACAGAACCACGCATCCATTCTGTGCAAGTCTCATCGGATAACTTGCAACAGATTCTCTGTTGGTTGTGACCTGCTTAACCTTTAATTCCTCCTTTTAAATCTTTTAACCTTTTTTCCAGCTCCAATACAGTTGTGAAAGATGGTGAGGAAGGTGGAAATTGAGCCCTCCATGCCCTTTGAATTCACCTTCTTCTCTGCAGAAGGAATGTGGAGGTACAGCTGATCTGGTAGGGCTTCTTACAGGAGTCGTTGTTGCTCAGCTAGAAATGATGAGGAAGCTGAAGCAATTCATGTGTAAGGAGGCAATCTATTTTTATACAAAAATATCTATTACTGTGTGCTTAAACTAACCCCTTATCATTTATGTTCTCTTAAATGAAGGAGATCAGTTCTGGGAGAAAGAGGCAGGCAGAAACACTGGAAGGTTTGAGGTCTGGAAGGGCAAATCTTGTTCTTAGATTTCTGAAATGGGTATCTGCAGAACAAGGTCTGAGAAATGAAGCAGGGCTGGTAGAAACAGCTTGGTGCAGCCGTTTGGTTCTGGTACATCAATGCAAACTGGAAAGGCTTCAGGACTGCTCAGCCTCCTGCAGTTCATCCCAGGGAGGGCATTTGAAAAGTATCTCCCCAGCACCAGGTCAGGAGGGTGCCCACAGGGAAGGGTGCAGGGGCAACACAGCATGGTCAGGAGTGTGTCATGTCTCTAGCGATGCTCCTGCCCATTGCCCACGGGCTTTTCTCACTGTCAGGGGATCCAGCAGGCAGAAACCTGCCCTCTGTGTATGTCTGCCACCAATGGGCTGGTCCTCTACAGCTACAGGACCATGGGGTTCCTGCCTCTGAGCCGTAAATACCCAGCTCCTCTGCCCACACTTGTCTTCTCCTTTTAACCTGTTCTTATTCTTTATCTTTGCCTACCTCTTACCTGACCTTGCTGCTTTTATTTCTGCAGTAGCTGATTTAAATGTTAGTAATTTGAAGTGGCAAACAATCACTGGCCCATATCCAAAGACTTGCTGCTTATTTAAAGTGTCAGGGTGAAACAGTACCAGGGAAACCAGGCAGTGATGTGATCCCATCTTCAACAATTCCACAACCTGATACATTCCCAGAGAGTTATCACTACCTCTTTCCACATCATTTGTCTGAAATGTAAGCAGCCCAGCATATAATAGTATACCTACCTGAATGATGTGTTTAATAGGAAGTGTGCAGCCAGGAGACAAAAATCAACCATTGACTCTATAAATTATTAAATTTAAAAAGGGAACGAGATATCTTTGGCCAGAAATAAGCAAAATGCCTTTTTGCGAGCTTTGTGCTGGAATCTCCTGGTGTGCTCACAACTCACTGACTCCCTGCCTTGAATTGTTGCTTCAATTCCTGTTCGGGTTGTCACAACTCTCAATTATTTTAAAAAAGGACTGAAAATAAATTTATATTTCCCAGATTTTATTAGACTTTAGAAAAAAAGAAGCCTGAGCTGCAGCAGTTAAATAATTTATGACCTTTGCTGAAAGGGTAAGAAGACCTACAATAGAAATAAAATACATGGATTGGAAAGAAAGGGTTTGGATCTTATTGTTTTTCCTGCCCACTGGTTTTACTGAATGCAATTTTAAGATATATCTTCAACAAAGAAGTTTCTTCCCCATCACACAGCTACTTATTATTATCAAATTCTAACCACCAATTCATAAAAGACCTGTCTCAATGGAGTTGATCTCTGCTTTGATTTCATGGTGATAAAGCAAAGCTAGGAAGCAGGCGGTGAGTGTACTTTCTTGCATGAAGAGGTATTTATTGTAGGTAGTGTACTTAAGCATTAAGCAATGATGTTTCCTTTTCATGCAACTTTGAAAATCAATATGTTCCCCTCCAGTTCCTCTGATACTGTCATTAGCTATCCCTCAGAAAAGGCACTCTTAAACAGCCTTTATGCACTGCTTTGCTTTAGCAGGCCTGACTGTCTCATATGCCCTAGTCTTACTGCTGATCCATGGAGGATTTCAATGAGGAAATGAATTGTTTTGGACATCTGCAAAAGGCTGCTGTAAGTGTCAGGGGAACTCTTCAACCTGGCCTAAGACACTTTCAGGGGCTGAGTTCCCAAGTATAATACAAGTTTAGCACCTGGCTGGAACTATTAAGATCTGAAGATCAACACCCAGCCCACAGATACCCACACAGGAGTTTTATTCCTGCTGTAGTTGTGAAGGCACAAGT